GACAGCAGGAGTCTCCTCGACAGCAGGAGTCTCCTCGACAGCAGGAGTCTCCTCGACAGCAGGAGTCTCCTCGACAGCAGCTTCGACGGCGGGGGTCTCTTCGACAGCAGCTTCGACGGCGGGGGCCTCCTCGACGGTGGGGGTCTCCTCAACAGCAGGAACCTCCTCAACAACAGGTGCCTCCTTAGGCTCCTCCTGAGACTTCTCGATGGTGACCTCTGGAACAACGCTCTCCTCCACGGCGGGAGTCTCCTCGACAACGGGGACCTCCTTGGGCTCTTCTTGAGTCTCTTCGGCAGGCGCCTTCGCAACAGGAGCAATCTCTTCGGCAGCGACAGCCTCCTCAGTCACTGGCTCGGATGCGGCGGGCTCGTCGGCGACAGGAACCTCGGGCGCTTGCTCCTCCACGGCTGGTTCCTCCTTGGCGGGCTCCGCAACTTCAGCAACCTCCTCAGTGACCTTCTCGGTAGCAGCTGGCTGGGGCTGGGCAGTTTCCTCGGCGACAGGCTCCTCCTTGATGGGCTCCGCGACTTCGGCATCCTTTTCGGTGACGGGCTCTTCCGCAACAGGCTCCTGAGCGGTCTCTGCAGCTTCAACAACATTCTCAGTGACGGGCTCGGCGGCAGCGGATTCGACTTGGGCGGGCTCTTCAACGGTAGGCTGTTCGGTAACGGGTTCCTCGGCAGCGGCGGCTTCCACGACGGGCTCTTCGACAGCGACGGTAGGCTCCTCCTGAGCTTTCTCTTCGGCAATCTCGGTGGCAATAGTGTCGACAGCAGGCGCCTCCTCGGTAGGCTCCTCGGGAGCAGAAGTCTGGGGAGCTGGCTGCTCAGTGGAAGAAGCAGATTCTTCAGTAACGGGCTCCCCGACAGTCTTCTCCTGCTCTGCGGCTTCCTCCACGGCGGGAGCTTCGGTAGTTGGCTCCTCGGCAACGGGGGTCTCCTGAGCAGGCTCTTCAACGGCCTTGGCAGTCTCGGCAACGATGGCCTCTGCTACAGGCTCTTCCGCAGTCACGGCATCAGCCGAAGGCTCATTGACGGTCTCAGCAGCCTCAGCAACGATGGGCTCAGCAACAGGTTCTTGAGCAATGGGTTCTTCCATAGCAGGAGTCTCGGCAACGGGTTCCTCCGATACTTCTACGTGACTGACCTCAGGAGTGGCCTCGACAGCTGGTTCTTCAACCGTTGACTCTTCCTTCGTTGTGGGCTCCTGCTCGGGCTCCTTCTCAAGGGCGGTTTCGACGACTGGTTGCTCAATGGCAGGCTCTTCGGAGGTCTTCTCGGTAGTCGGGTCGGCGGCGGATTCCTCGACGGCGGATTCCTCGACAACAGGTTCCTCCTTGGTAGCTGGCTCCTCAGTAACTTCAGCAACAACAGCGTCAGCAACTGCCTCCTCAACAGCAGGCTCTTCTGTCGCCTTTTCAGAAGTAGTCTCAGCAGCTGGCTCCTCAACCGCGCGCGCTTCAGTAGCAGGAGCTTCAACAACAGGTTCTTCCTTCACAGGCTCCTCCACCAAAGTTTCGGCGACCGGCTGCTCAGCAACAGGCTCGTCCACGGTCTGCTCTTGTGTGGGCTCAACAGCAGGTTCCTTCTCGCTTTCCACCTCAGCAGGAACTTCAACGACAGGCTCCTCGGGCGTCTTCTCGGCAGTGGTCTCAACAACCGGCTCTTCCACAACAGGCTTCTCAGAATTCTCCACAGCTGGCTCTTCAGTGACGGTTTCCTTCTCAGTAGACTCTTGGACGATCTCAGGAGCAGCGGCTTCGGAGGTAGTGGCTTCAGCAGGAGTCTCTACAACGGGCTCTTCCGCGACGGTCTCTTGGTGAGCAGGCTCGGTGGTGGTCTCGGCGGCTGCGCCTTCCACAATAGGTTCCTCGGCAGCGGCTTCGGTCTGGGCTGACTCGTTGGCGGCTTTCACAGGTGACTCCATCGGCTCCCCGACGGCGTTCACCTCCAATTCCTTGTCATCAACGACTGTGGTCTCCTTCGCCTCCTCCACAGTTTCAGCGTGCGAGACCTCGGGAGTAGGCTCGTCAGCGACGACCTCCTTGACGGGCTCAGAAGCTTCAGTGGCGACCTCGACCGGGGCTTCAGTGGCAGCCTCCTCTACAGGCTTCTCCTCAGACACGGACTCTTCAGCCTTGGACTCATCGACGGTCGTGGTTTCGGCGGCGGCTTCCACTGGCGCAACCTCAGCAGCAACCTTAGCAGAATCCTCAGTGACTGGCTCCGCAACAGGCTCTTCCTTCTCGCCCGCCTCGGTAGACGCCACTTCAGGGAGAGGCTCGATGGCAGAAGTCTCTGCGCCTTGGGCTTCAATAGGCTCCTCCGCGGCTTGCTCGGCTTCAACTTCCTCGGTGGCGGGAGTCTCAGTCGATTCTCGAGTAGGAACAGTTTCGGATGACGGCTCGGGGACAACAGGCTCTTCCGTAACCTTCTCGGTGCTGGGCTCGGCGACGGACTCTTCCTTGATGGGTTCCTCCTTCACAGGCTCTTCCTTGAGAAGCTCCTCCTTGGCAGGCTCCTGAGCGGAAGTCTCAACAGCGGGAGTCTCCTCGGACTTCTCGGAAGCCTCGTGTGCGACAGACTCCTCAGCAGAAACTACAGGAGCAGCAACTTCGAGAGGTTGCTGAGTCTTGCTATCCTCGGGCAGCCCCTTGGTCTCAGCGCTGGGTTCAGTCGTAGGCTCGACAGGAGCAGCAGACTCGGATGGCTCGTGTGTCGCGGGTTCCTCCTTAGCGGCCTCTTCCGTAGACTCGACCACCGCGGCCTCGGTTGCCTCCACCTCCTTGACGGGCTGCTCCTCGACGGGCTCTTGAGCGGTCGATTCCTCAACAGAAGTCTCAGTCGCAACGGGGTCGGTCTCAGCAGGCTTCTCCGAGACGGCTTCCACTGCAGGAGTTTCTTCCGTGGCAGTCTCTACAGCCACACTCTCGATAGCAGACTCTTCGACCTTAGGCACGGGCTCGTCGGCGACCTTCTCCGTCTGAGGCTCTTCAGCTGCCTTGCTGTCGGTTTCGGGGGCGCTCTCAACAGCAGTGGCCGACTCTTCTTCCTTGGTTTGGTCCTTGTCGGCTTCTGTGGCGGCTTCGGCAACTTCAGTGATGACTGGAGCTTCTTGAGTCTCAGTGGCGGCGGCTTCTTCCTTCTCGGTGGTTGGCTCAGCTTCGGCAGACTTCTCTTCCACAGCTTCGGGGGCGTTCGCGGTGACCGTAGGCTTTTCTTCCGAGGGCTGCTCCACAGTCTCGGTGCCATTGACCTCAGTGGTTGCGGTGCTGCCGTTGGTGACAGGCTCCTCCAGCTCGGTCTCTATTTGAGCGGCGACGGGCTCAGGCTTGTGCTCCTCGGGCGTGGACTCCTGCGCAGATGTGTCATGCTCGGCAACTCCGTTGACCCCGTTCTCCTTGGGCGTAGCGTCCTCCGAGACAATCTCTTCCGTCTTCTCGCTGACCTCGTTCTCCGCGACGGGCTGGACAGCATCGGCCGCGGACTCCTTCTCCCCAACAGTAAGCACGTTGACGAGGCCACCCTCACCGGGTACTAGATAGCATAGTCAATTAGTTTCTCTCTCCTAAAGCACAAACTCAAAACCCTGCGCCACAGCGCAAAGCCCAGACAACGAGGTCGGAGGGAAGTGCGTACCATGCTTTACGGCCTCATCATGAAACCACGGGCCCTTTTTCCCCTCACGGAATCTGTACTGATGTTGGCCGGGAGGCAGGGTCAGATCGTGCCAGAAGAGATATTCGGTGGAGATGAGTCCGTCCTCATCGGGTTCGGTGTCGACGGGCTTGGAGCTGAGCTCGACGGGCTCCCATTGGGGGTCGGAGAAGGTGCCGGCCAGGTAGAGGGGGTCGTCGATGGGACGTCGGATCGAGATCGTCACAGTCTCACCAGCGGGGGGAGCCATTGTGAATCGTCGTCGTGGGTGGGGGATGTCGTTACAGTCGTTAGGAACGCCGGATATTCGCAAACAGCGCAAAAGGGGAAGCGAAAGGAGTTCGACTCGAAAACCGCGATAATGTACAAGAGGCGAAGCGTCCGGCGGGATGCGGAGAAGTTTCGGACCGGATCAAGAAAAAAAAAAAAAAAATAGCCACCCGCGCACGGAAGGTAAACGAGGAGGGAGGAGGGGGGGAGAAGGTAAGGGAGGATTGTGGGTGGGTGCGTGTGTGTGTATGTGTGTCTTAGGAGGGATATGAGGAAAAGGAAGAGGAAGAGGAAGAGGAAGAGGAAGAGGGAAAGATGGAGGAGTGGTTTAGGGAGAGGAGGGGGGGGGAGAGGAAGATGGTACAATTGGGAAAGTAGTGGTTAGTGAATTGGAGATAATAGAATAATTGATGATGATGATAGTAAAATAAACAAAGAGGAAAGAGGGGAAGGGAAGTCGGGAATATCAATGGCAGACTTTGGGACTAGTCTAGCTTCAATCCGTCTGTCTGTCTGTCAGTCACTCAAACAGTCAGCCAGTCTCAATCCCAGAAGGTATGTTCAGGTGTTGTGGTTGAACTCTTTTGACTCGAATGAGAGCAACAAGCGTGAGGGAGCGTGAGAGCGGAAAAAAAAAAAAAATGGATAGAGTAATAATGGGTCCGCACGGAAGACCGATGGAGAACTACCTAGTTCACTTTACTGGTTAGTTGGCGGGGCAGCTGGTGGGAGTTGGCACAGTAATGATTCGGTTGTATGTCATTTTGAATCCAGTTCGCATTTGGCTTTGAACCATCTTGTCTTTCTCCTCGAATACACTTGATTGTAAGATGGACAGTACATTGAGGACCCTGGATGTCTCCGTACCGTCCGGAGAATTGACCGTAAGAAGACAAGGAGGGGGGGGGAGGAGGATAAGTAAGAGAGAGGCCCAAGAGTTTAACTATCCTACGCAAACCACCCACTCAGCCAAGTTTATCCGACATCAACCCTCCCCCACGAACCAATCCGCGGCAGACGAAAGGCGTCTTCTCGGATGGATGTCCCGCGCAGTCCACGGTAATGCCTGGGATTCCCCAATCGGGCCATTGGCAAGAGTCACTGGCACTGCACGCCTGCAAGAAGAACAAGGTGGAAGACGAGATGCTGCGATGCTGCGATGCAGTGCGGTGGTGCATGCAGATCGGGAACTCGAATGGAACTAAAAGCAGCCAAAGAAAAATGCGGTGAGCGCGCCCCGCCAATCAGCGCCAGCAGAGCGCCTCCACTTCTGGACCGTTGCACGGCTGAGGTAAGCATGCAGCTGGTCAGAGGGGGAAGATAAGAAATTCTATATTCGTCGTCATTTTCCCAGGACGAGCTGGAAGCGAAGCGTTGGTCGTCTCTTGTGTACAGTACAATTATTTGTACTACTCGCTCACGCTCAAGCTGACAATTGCTGCCCTACAGTACATCCCACCCGTCGCAACTGACCACAAGACGACTTCAGAATCTCAAGCAGAAAGCATGCTAACTACTAACCACTAGTGGCGTCGGCAGCCCCCCCCAATAGTGGCGCCATCAATAATTTTCCCTTCCTGTGATTGAGTCGGGATCTCCACCGGGCGCTCCCTCCCAAGAGACAGAGGAAAAATCAAAACAAAACAAACCCAAACAAAAAAAACATCATGCAACCAGTTCCATCGAACCAGAAATTCGGATTTGTATAGGTCGGGGTGACTGAATAGATTGGAATCTGGGCATTCACTCATCTGTGCAGGTCACTGGACTGTACATCTCGTCGATATGATATGCACACCAAGATCTCCGCCGCAGGATCTCCCTACCTGCCTGCCTGCCTGCTGCGCTGCTGCAGCCTCAGAGAGAGAGGGGGGGTCCCACAGTTGCTGTGCTGGCACTGCCTGTCTGCTTAACCATTGGGGATCAAGCTAATTAACTTCACCTGTATCTATAACTTACTCATACCTACACCACACTACAGTAGACAGACTATATACAGTACATCCAGTCCAGTGCACATGAACCAGTGGGAAAAGCTTACAGCTACCACCTTAGATCATCCAAAAATCAATTCCATTGTTCGTGCCCTCCGAAATGACCTCACTCGCCACAGAGCCTGGAGTCTCGAGTCTCGTTCCTCGTATCCCTCTCATCTTCATCTTCCCCTTTCCCACACTGCGGAGTCCATCTACCGTACCGTATCCATCCATCATGCCCCCCTCCCCCTTATTGCCGATATATTGGGGACTCTGTTCTAACAATAACCGTCAACCATCACACACTTTCCCTTCTCGTCTCCCCTTCTCCCTCCCCTTATTGTGAGGCGATGCAGTACACTACCGTACCAAAATATCTTCCCCTTTCTCTGTTCTCCATCCTCCCGAGTCCCGAATCATCCGACCAGAATCAGCGGGTGGAGAAGAGGGAGGGAGGGAGCGGAACCCACGGAAAGGGTTTTTGGTTTTGTGCCCTGCCCTGCCCTGCCCCGGCGCTGGCCCCGGGCGGGCTGGCCTAAGGCGAAGGCTAGCTAGCTGGTTCCGCCTTCTTGTCTACCTGGCAGCAGCAGCTCCATCCGGGCAACGGTTGCATGACGATTGTTGTGGATTTTGCTATGCCTACGTAGATAGGCAGGGTGCAACAGAACTACAGCTAAGAGTCAGTTGAGCATGCTAGTATCCGAATTTTAGCCAGGGACCGACTGGTCTCTTTTAACTGTTTCGGTTTTGCATGCATCCCGGAGAGTGTGGTGTGGGCGGGTTGCAGACCCTATGTGTTCATCGTTGTAGACTCGAGAACGAGATGCATGGCGCAGGACGATATTGCCGGGTGATGACAGAATCAAAAAAGCTTATTGGGGGAGAATTGGACATTCCTCTCGATTTGATACTGACGAAAAAAAACAGTCGGTGGAATTGGACAGTACCTAAAAGCATATATAGCAACTTGAACCCTCAATGCATCCAAAACACCCAAGGAGCTCCTGAAAGCTCCCCGTCAAGGACGCCGGTTCCGCTCTCGCCATGACCAGATTACCAAGGAAACAGAAGAGGAAGCAAAAAAGCCAAAAAAAAAAAAAAAAAAAAAAAAAA